GTTAAAGAGTAGTTTTATTTTTGTACAGTGTTCTTTTTATTGTATGTTGTAATAATTCCTTTATATCCTGTGATGCCTGCTAGTCTGTTTTCCGATATGGATCGAAATAATAGCGGTCTCGAAGACCAAAGAGCACTACAACTAGCATTCGAATTATCAATGCTAGGTTTCAATGACTCCTCACCCACAACGACTGAACCATCACCCGGCGAGACTCTCACGCCTGCCTTCCCAGATGAGAACAGAGGCAAGAAGAGCCAAAATATGACGGAGTGTGTGCCTGTGCCAAGTTCTGAACATGTAGCCGAAATCGTGGGGAGACAAGGTAAGCGAGATTGTTTAGTCGTCTGTTATGGTATAAAACAAAGCCAAAACATGTGCTAATGTTGAGTTCTGTAGTTATTATTACGTTATGACAATTCCCTTAACTTCCAACCGCATCTCTGCGTTAATACCATTGCGCATAATATGTAGTATGTAGGACGTGTTTATTATCGATTTCATATGGAAAAACTTTGAAATTTAGAGTGAAAGGCGTCGTTTTAAAACCAGCGTGTAAGTACCTGAAATTTGTCTCGTACAGTAGCAAGCTTTGTTGTCCTTATTTTCTGCCCAGGACATAGTCGCGGCAATAATATTAATTAAGGTAATTTATGTTTGCACAAGGTGATAACGGTTTGGTGGGGGAGGTCATGTATTATAACACGGAGCTTTTATATTTATAAACAAGTGCACAGACTGTGTGTTGTATCCACAAGCTGGAAAACAGCATGCATAGTTAAATTTTGGACTGTCAGTATAACGTAGAAATAAGGGCTTTAATGTAAGGTTAATAATTTGGTTTCGTTAATTCATGTGCTTGATAACAGTCAAACAAAGCCAGTTACTAAATAATAGCGATCGTATCATAACGAAATATTGAAAACTCGTTTGTTTTCAAAATACAGTTACTTAAAAGTTTTACTTTTTTCTGGAAGTCGTGCAGACGCAGGAATAAGTTCGGTTAACAAAGAAATATTTGGTTGGTAGCAAGCTGAATACAGCAGCTGGCCGGAAGACCACTAAGGCTGGGTAGACGAGACCAGGCCCATGCACGATACTGAACAAAGGGCCACTGGAGCAGATGTTCCCGTGTCGCCATCATTTTCCTGTTTCTTTCTTTTTTGTTGTGTGTGTGTGTGTGTGTTTTCTCCAGCCCTCCATCCTGTGCTTTGTTACGTCAGCTCAGGATAGAAACCTGAACACTGTTGTGGAACAACAATGTGTCTAATTTTAACCTCGAATTTGTCTGTGCACGTGTTACGAAAGGAATGCCAACCAGTCTGCTGGCCTCGAGACATCGAACTCTGTAATGCTTAAAGACGCCACTTTTTTAGGCACTGTACATGACTGGGTATATTATTCATGTTAGTTTGAGGCACATTCCTTAATTTCTGGACCACGTTTATCGTAGGTCAAGTCTTTAGCCGTGCCTCACCAGTCTCGCTTGCATGGTTTCCCTTTCTTTGGAACGTTGAACCACAAAACCAGTCTCATGCCATCAAGGTCGAGGCAACAGAGAAAACAAAGCCGTGACGGAGCCATGAAACCTCTGAAATGCTATTCTGGGTGCAGCGGAAACCATAAAGATAAAATGTAACATAATCGTATTACTTATTCTTTTAGGATGTGAAACAATTTAAAGAAAAAAGGCTTAAGTATTGAAATGTGCTAATGCAGTTTGTTGACTCCAGTAATGATGGAAGAGCTGAATAAACACCCCGACTTCCTGTAATGCCATCTCCTGCTACATGCAAGAGAAATTTAAGGCGAGTCTACTGAATGGAGAATCTTTTATCTCCACGTGGCGGATATGCATGTACCACCAACCTAATAACGAACATCGCTGAAATACTGATTGACGATTTTCATTCTCCGGTCGAATGTGTGTTGTTGAGGTCATATTAGTGCAGTGCTTATCTCTTCTACGTAGTGACTTTACTAACCCATGTTCGGATAACTGAATAGTGGGTGTGTTTGTGTGGGATGTTTGGCAACACAGGTTTAGTTCATTGCTCTATCCTGTGTTTTGGCTCCCCCTCGTAACATTATTGGGGGAAAGTCATATATTGCGATCTCGCGGACCCCCCCCCCTCCAGAGTAGTTCTTTTCCATCTATCGTACGCAATTGATAGCTTTGCCAAGCATATCGATGACCTTGTGTTGGAACCGGAAAAAAATGTAATGAATTTTTTTCATGCTGAAAATAGTAAAATACGTCAAGTAACTCATCCTAGGTTCAGTGTATAACTTTGTGTGAGAGCCGCGTCGGTTATTTGTCGTTAACAAACGTTCGACAAACATTGCAGTTACCATTTTCAAGGTGGATGAGGTGGGGTATTTTCAGAAGGCCTTCTGCAGTTGTTGCCGAAACGTTGGTTAGCGACAAATATCCGATGTGGCTGTCACCCGAACGTCGAAGTTGTGCATTGAACCCCGGCTGCGAAAACCTATGGACAAGAACTGTCCTAGGTTTACTTTTGACCATCCAAAGGTAGAAGTACGATTCGTAGGCGTAGATTTTAAGTTTGGTGCACCGAAAGTGATTACAATTTTAATATCCATAAATAGCAATGCCTGTTGACTGATCAGATTCGTGTAGCAACAAAGTTTCCCCGCTTGTATTTGACGAAGTACGCACTTCGAATGTCTGATAAGATGAGTTTATTCGTACTTTGCCTTAGCCATTCCAAGAAAATGCTGGAACAGTAGCTTTGAAGTTGACTACGACCATTTCCCTCCCCAATACTTCCAAATTTCATTTGATGCTTCACAGTTTGAAGTTTATAGTTTTCTTATATAACACTACGTCACCAAGGAACGAGTAGTCGGGCCTTCTGGAACGTCGTAGTGTAAACCCCACGTAAATAAACAGCTTGATGTTTGGGCCGCCATTATTTCCGGTGGCTGATGCTTTCTTTAAGGAGGTGGATGGAACCCATAATCGCCGACGGGTGGTGAATACTAAACATTTCCAGTTTCGAGTTGACTTAAGTTGTTCAGTCACCAACCTTTTAAATGCATTGAAGTTGTGTGGTCTGTGACAAAAAAATGTACAATTTTCATTTTTGATACGCCCATTCATGCAGTCGAGACCGGAATTCCTCGACAGTGTGGTAACGCCAAGAGAAACGAGTGCCGCGTCTCAAGGTCAGTGTATCCGTCTTTCGTTTCACAGATCTTCAATTCGAGTACCACCGGCCAAGGGTCTCCTTGGCCAACGATGTCAGTCTGTTAACATTGCAGTATTATCTTTACCAGTTCTGAAATATTTTTTGGCCACATTTTTAGACTTGAGTTAGAAAGGCTATATTTGATGGTAGGGCCAGTAGAATGATAGTTGTGGGGTTTTTTTTCCCGGAACACTCCCGACAGGAAATTCTGTATACGCCGTAGACCATACCCGTAGCGGAGATTGTAGGTGCTTCAGAAGCTATCGGGTGTTCCAGCTTGAAAGGGAACTCGTAACTGAGAAAACCGCGTTGTTTTTTTATTTCCCTTCTAAGCATCACCGTAGGAAAATACGGCTCTCGATCTCTGCTCGAACTGTAGGCTTTAAGGACTGCTGTCTCCATGACGATACAGTGGTTGCTGCAGCATCCGTTGCTATAGCAACCCCCGGGTTAACCCCCTCAGTTTCATATGAAGACTCGGTCTGCTGGCAGGGGAGGGACACAGTGTAGTCTACACACTGTTTGCCCGGTCAACCAACCAACCAGTGGAACCCTCGCCGGGACCACCCTGGATGGGCTGCTGCAACGGGAGCAGCTCCCGGAGAGGGGGCAATTTATGGACTCTGCTTCTTCCAGGGTGCTTGCTCGTCGTATTGGGTGGAAATTTAATGGGCCCTTTTTGGTCTTTCATGTCATGACATTCTGAAGGTTGTTATCCTTTTTCTAGAGAGGAGCATTTTTCGTAATTTAATTTGCAGATGAGAGGGATTGTGCCCTATTTTAAATGCTTTCCGTTCGATACCAACAGCCAGAGTTCGAGTACGTCATATCGTGCAAAGGCTGGACGTACTATATTGGTCCCACCAAACCGCGGTATAGTAACTTGCACAGAAGGAAGCTAATGTGAGATCAGGGAAGAAACTAGCTGTGGAATGTCATAAATCTTTCTTGAAGCACTATTAAGAAACTGAGCATGTTAGAAGTGTATGAACCATGATGGTTTCGTACTTTTCCTCAGTTCTTCCAGGTGAATACCTAAATATACTATAGGGCTCGAACTTTGCTTTGGTCTAACCGTTCTCCTATTATGGCGTGATAGTAAGTGTCATACTTTACAGAGTTAGTAAATGTTAGAGTTGAATCCATTTGAATTACATACCAGGTACGATTACTTGCACCTCTGTTGGTATGTAAGTCCTAACTTCGCTGTACAACCTAACTCTTTTTCCTCATTATTCAACTTTTTGAAGGAGTTAATCACATCTGAATTTTCCCGAAGAATGTAAAGTATGTTATGTGAAGCTCATCTGCGTACTAATCACGAATTCAGAGAGAGCTGTTTTATTACATGTGTTAACACATGTCGAAGGACGTCTTAAATGAGACGTCTTCTATTGTATATTTCCCTGTCTTGTACATTCCCTTGCTTAACCATTGTATTTTATTGCTAAATGTTACGTAGATATAAATTAAGGTGTTTTAATATATAATATTTACATGTTCTTGTTGCCTGTAATTCTGCTCTTCTTTGTACTAGACAGAATGATGAATTGGGGTGTAGATGCAGTGGGCAAACATTTGTTTTCTTTTCCAAGTGCACAGCGCATTTATATTGTCTGTACGTAATTTTAAGCAAGTCTACTACTCCTTAGAACAGCTACAGCCTTCCACCAGTAACTACACCTACTTAGTCCTCTGTGCTAAAATAGGTTAGCTGCTGAAGACACAGTCCATTACGTGGTGTATCTGGGAACATAAAATGTGTATACAAATTATCAGTCATGTCTATTAGTTTGGAACACTTGAAGAGAACCACCTGAAGATGACCAGTTAAGGTCGAAACACGTAGTGTATTCTTGATAAACATTGAAACTATAATAAAAAATGGTTGGGTGGTCGGACTGTCAACTTAACAGGACGCGTCCTTTAAAACTCGAGCCTGTAACCCATTTGAGGTCTTTTTGGCATAGATTTTTAAATTAATGTCTTCAGCCAAATTTACCTGGCGACCATGATAACTTGGTCACGTACTATAGGGTACTGAAGTTTCATATGATGGTCTTTAAATACGCAAGTGTTAAGTGCTGCTGTCTGAAAGAAACGTTTATTTTTC